TTATCATAACATTCCTTAAACATTTGTCTATACAACGCTACCAATATGTTAGCCAATAACACATGTACAGGGTGTTCCATTAGTGCATATTTGATAGATAGCTGTTTTATTATTAGAAAAACGACGAAATTTTTAATATAAAAGTTGTATGACCATATTTAACAATTATTTCTAAATATACAGGGTGGTCCATAAACGAGGTGCGAACCAAATCTATACTTTTTAAAAGCAAAACACCCTGCAGTTTGTTATAAGTTATAAGTTTTCGTTTAAAATTTTAATTACGGATTTGTTGTTGCAAGAAGCAAAGACAAAAATGGTATCAAAATAAGGATGTTCTTAATCCTCGCCAAGTCAATATGCTTATTGATTCAACAAACAGGATGGAAATAAGAGGTCAATGTTTTAATTACATATTTCATGTTTAACGCTGAGACAGAGAAAAAAACGAATGGCATTAGATGAAGAACGGGTGGTTACTTTAGTGGAACAGCCTAATAAATTTGATGTTTTTAAATATGGATCATCGAAATTAACTTCTATATTAACTAAGGAAATTTACAGTGCAAAAGTAGAGGCCTTAAAATTAACAGTAGACGAAAAGGGTCAAACGACTTTATAGAGTTTTTTAAGTAATGTTGATACTCCAGATGTTTATAAGCCATTAAAGAAAATACAATGGACAAAGACAATCAACAGAAAACTCAAAAACTCTTCAACTTCTCAATCCTTGGATGGTCAACAGTTTCTTTAAAAAAATTTATTAGCAAAGGATATGGGTAGAAGTATTAATTATGCCGAAATATTTTAAGTTTGAGCTGATAGCCCCTCCGATGTATCTAACAGTAAATGGGTATCTCGGCACCTCCACAAATAAGAGTTCATTGGAAAATATTTTTGAACAATATGGCATTTACTCACAAAGACTTACCTGCACCCATATGGCAAAACTTGTCACATTTTTGATGGGATGGCAATAGTCCAAGGTTTGGGAAAGTCCAAAAGTTGTATATCATTTAAAGAATATGCTAATGTATTTGTAAACGTTATTTTTAGAAATTTAATGCTTAAAGGATAGATGTGGTATGTGATCATTATAAAGAACATTCTATCAAAAACTCGTCAAAAGAGAGGATCCCAGAAATCAACTGATGTAGAAATTGACCGACCCAATACTCCACTTCCGCAACAATGGAACTTGTTTATTCATTCGATATTTAACAAAAGACTTTTAACAAATTTTTTGTCAGAGCAACTTCATCAAAATTCCATTCAGCAAAAGCATATTTAATTTGTAACTAGTGGTGGATTCGCGAATATCAATAAATATAGGACGAATTTTGAACCATCAAAAGATGATTTCTTAAATTCAAATCATGAAGAAGCTGATACTCGTATCTTATTGCACATTATGTTAGCCAAAAATTCGGGGCATTCATGCTGCATTATTGATTGCAACGATACAGATGTTCTAGTCTTAAAAATTTATTTTAAGAAGTATTTGACTAAAGAGATATGGTTCAGAACAGAGCGAGGAGACTCAAGACGATTTCTAGCAGTACATGATTTAAATTTGGATGATACCTTCTAAAAAATTTGCCTGCTTTTTATTCTCTGACCGGTTATGATACAACCAGCCAATAGTCTGGCATTGGGAAAAGAAAACGTATTCTCTAACCTTGAAAAATGTTTCATAAAAATTTATTCAAAAACTGCCAATGTTACTTCCATTAACATTTTGAGGGGATTAATGGCCTCTTTAAAAACCATTGCTAAATTGCCACCGACTGAAGACGACCTAAGATTACATTGTTTAAGATGTTTTTACCAGCTAAATATTTAGCTAAGCTCTTTAAAGCCGCAGATGCAGCTTCCTAATGTTAAAGAGTATGAATAGAAAGTAGATCAAGATGGAAGGCTGATACCCACTCTAAGACTCTGTCCGACCTGCCACCAGACATAACAGAACTTACATCATGCAAATGCAAAAAAGGTACTATACACCGATAATTTTCATAGATGTACAATATTCTAACAATATTATTCTGTTCTAGACTAAGAAAGCAAAATTTGCAAATGCAGGAAAAAAATATTGGCTGTATCGGTTCCTGCACCTACCTGTATGGCACAGAAAAACTGCAGCAAAAGTTTGACCACAGCCGCTAATTTTTTGAAAAAAGGTTGATTCGTGTGGTGAATCTGATTCTGATTAGTTTAAAAGTCTTGTACTTATAAATTTTAATAATATTAATTTATGCTTTATATCGGGTGTTCAAATTAAAGTGTTACAGCTAAATACTGCCTATTATAAAAAAAAAAACGTTTCAGACGAAAGTTTTATAGTTTTGTGGGGAAAATTTTTTGGCTAAAATCGTTTGTTTCAGCTAACCATAATATATCCAACTTTTTTTTTCACCCAGCAAAATTTTTAAGTAGCTGTTACTCAAAAAGTAAAAGTCGAATAGAAAAATTATTTCCATCTAAAGTTTCTTATTTTTTTATGTACTTTAAGAATATTTACAAAAAAAAATGGGGTTCCCATTTAAAAAACCAAGTCCACCTCGATATGGCCATATTATGATCAGTTATAAAAAAAAAATTTAGCCAAAATGTTTCCCCCAAAAAAGTATAAAACTTTTGTCTGAAACTTTTTTTTTCTAAAATGCATATTTTCGGCGGTATTTAACTAACACTTTAATTTGAACACCCGGTATTCTTTTAATTATTATTAATATTATTATATTTTTTACATTGGGAATTTATTGTATTTTGCAAAGCAATAGCCTTACTGTTTATAATCGATACTTATATATACTGTGTTTATACCTTCAATAAATAGTTCATATTTTCTTATTTTTTATTTTCCTCAAAAAATAAAAAAATAAATTATAGCGTATAAATCAATAATCCCTGAATAAAATATTATGAGAGAGTCATTGCATACATTTTAGCACTGAGAGAGAAGAATAGAGAGTCGAGAAGCTTTACCTTCAATGTTTGCTTTCTAGTTAAACCATGACATAACTAATTGTTTATTGCTATATTTTTGTTAATATAAAAGCAAAAAATATGGGGAAAGCACTGTTACCTTGTCAATACATAGGCGAAACTTTTATAAAGAATAGTTTTTTCTCATGTAGGCCTTCGTTTTTCGTCAAATGAGAGGTATATTTCTAAAAAAAGATTTTTTATACAAATTTGTTGACGGTTGAAACCGAGATATTGACGTTTAAATTTTTTTTCGACCATAAGGGCTAATGCAAATGATTTTGCCGGCTTCATATCATTTAGTTCTTGTTCATGAAAAATAAACTTCTATTATTTGAACGTCCTTATTTATTTCATAATTTGGATATTCCACACAGAAACACATTGTTTATTAGAAAGCAACATTTGTACTTGAATATGGAGGTATAATTTACTAGTCACTTTGCATTCGTTATAAATCTATTCACTCTTATTATTTATAAAAAGCACATATTTAATGTTTTTAATTCGAAGAAGAATCGACATCCTCTAATCATAAAAACTTCAAACTTTTGACAACAGTGGCCTTTTCTAATAATAAATGTTGATGTGATAGAAGGTTATTCGCTTCGATGGTGTTCAGAAGCCACAACAAGAAAGCAACACTATACACCTCTTTTAAAAAAACAGAACCTGGACAGGAATTTAAATTACCTTCGAAAGCAGAATATTCTGTGAATTTACAAGATATGACCTTTTCCTTTTGGTCATTTATTACTGAATAACGCTATAAACTTGTTGTGTTCTGGCTGGTGTAATTCTAGCTTTAATGTTATAAATGGTAACCGAACATATGATAGTGCACTTCCTTGGAAGACCTACAAAGAATAGAAAAACTTAACAATAGTAAGTGGTTAGTTTGTATATTAAAAAAAATGTAGTGCACTTCCTTGGAAGACCTACAATAGAATAGAAAAACTTAACATTAGTAAGTAGTTAGTTTGGATATTAAAAAAAATGTTTTTTTCTTAAATACAAATCTCTTTGAATACAATAATTCTAGAAAGATTTGGAGCTTAGACAGTTTACTTACGTTGCAAATTTCTGAGTCAATAAACTTTATATATTTTATATAAACAATCATTAGTCATGTTAGAATCCACCTTGGGTAAGTTGTATAAAGATTCTTCTTTTAATCCTGTTTGTACTTTAGCCATTTAAAAAAAATTAAATCATTTTAAAATAAATCAAAATAATCTCGCAATCGAAAACGAGGTTAGGATTTTTGACATTATAGACGCAGAGATGAAACCACGTTGCCAGATTAAAAGAAAATATTTTGCGATATGGCGATTATCATTTGAATAATATTTAGATTAAGAAGAAAAGTTTATTGAAATAGTAAGTTGCTTCATAAAAACTGAATTTAAACAATTATTCTTTTAGTTTTAATATATATGTTTTTGTGTTAAATTATACGATCTTAACCTTTAAATTGTCCGTTATCCGGAATGTCAATAATTCTTTATAGGATGCGGCAACAAGGTAAAAACATATCGATTATTGACTGGAATGTTATATATTGGTCAATTAGATTTAAGGCTTCATTATGACGATGCCTAAAAATAATTGTGTGATATCACAGAATGAAAAATCGAGGTAACAGAAAATATTCTACTAGGGTTCATGCATTAGTTTTTTAAAACAAAATGTTATTATAACCTCTAACTTGAACGACACAATTTGACACTTCATAATCAAATGAACCAACTAAAGTATATTCGAACACAACTTAAATGTGGCAACCGTGTGTTAAAGACATTCAGTGAAATAAGTCGAACTTTTAGCAAAGTTTAAGAAGCAAATAACTTTTAATTAATTATTTTTTGGATTCATTTTTTAAGCTCTTTATAACATATTTATAAGGCAATTCGTACCTATTAAAAAACTAATTAAACATATACAAACATTTTGTTATACTCATCACAATAATTTTATGAATTAAAGAACTAATAAAAAATATATCTTTTTAGGTACGTCGTAGAGTTGAGATCGGATTACACAATTCTAACTTTCCATCTTTCTACGGATTATCCTAAAGTACAAATGAGACTGAGTATTTTTAATAAAGAGTATCCCGACAAGAAATTAGTTGAACTTGATGGTACTGGTTATATTATATTACCTGCATTGGTACTCAACAACAGGAACAGGATTTGCCAGTTTAAATTTGTTGCTACTGAAAAGAAATCAACTTCGAAAGGTACTTAGTTTGCAGTTATAAATATCACTAAATATTCCTACATAACTATTTCACTAATATGAGCAGAATTTCATAAATTAAGAAGTCTTAAACTTTCTTATCAAGCTTCAGTTTTTACAATTTGTTAGGTCCCCTTCATTCTGTAGGGTCTTATAAATTTAAGTTTGCTACAAGTATTAAACCCAGTATAGTCCGTCGCAATTTATAGTAGAAAATCGTCTCGCTTTTAACATGAAGGAAGGTTGTGTATTAGCCAGAACATGATAATATTAATTTTTCATAAGAATGTTTGTAGGATTTTTTGGTTTTCCTAAAGACCCTTACCTTAGCAACAAGTGGTTGCATCTATAAACTTAGTATAAAAAACCTTTCTCGCAAGATTTGTGCCAAAAAAATCCAAGAAACCAATTTTACAGCAGAAGATACATGAAGTTAGTTATTTTATAAATTTTTATTATTTTTCTGACCCGAATCTTAAACATTTTGTTGTAGCTGTTATAATAAATGCGTTACAGAGAAAATAAGCACTCCCGTCTCCCTAATGAGAGTCAGGCTATGAGTGACGTCATGCGCATGACAGACGAAAACTGAACATAGGAGCATCCGGGTCTGGGTAGTATTGGTGTGGACTTTACCCAATCACTTTAGTATAGCTTCAAAATTTATGCGATTTGGTCGAGGTTTCGGTACTATATAGTTAAAATAAGTAGTGAAAATCAGTAGGGTAGTTAATGTTCAACAGTGTTTTTTCGAAATAAATTTGGACAAACAGGAAATAGGAAAACAGAAGCGTTGTCACCTTTCTAGTGATGCCAAGGGAATAGTTCTAAACGTCTATTTTGGTGAGTAATTATAATAACACAGGCCCGCGAAAATTTTGTGATCTATTTTTTATTTTTACCTATTTACAACTTTTATATAGCTAAAATAACCCCCTTTTTATTCTATCACGTAAACTTTTTTTGTAAACTAGTATCAAGGGTATTATCCCTGAACATCACAAACAAATTAATTTGAATTCCTTATTTTTGTTCAAAACGTTGAGACGCGTTAAAACCTCGTTTTAATTTGCGCATTTGCAGGGGGATTTACCGGTACTTACTAAAATATTGTTGGGGATTCCCCGAGACTCGATTTATTCAGGAAAGAAGGCGATATATTGTCACGTTAAGCGTGTTTTTATAATTAAATGTGCCACAATGAATGTGTTCTTAAATAATTAGGGACCAGCTATGTCCCGGGGGGTTGAACAGTAAGGGTTCAAATAGTGTAAGCACTAAACTACTATGAATTAACTTCATAGCCTTTAACTGTACAAGGGTTCTACTTTTTGATATAAGACCTAACACGTCTCTGTAAAAGGGCTGAAGGAAACACAGTGTTCTCAAAACAAGTATAATATTATAAATAAAATATTTGTACAAAATAGGTCCTAACTAGACAAACACAAATATGGGGCTCAGTATAATATTAAGATACAAAAAATATTAACTTACCAACTCCGTTATTATTTGAGGCACATATCAAAACCTTTGATTAGTACTTCAATTTAAAATACAAAAAAAAGGGATCTAAGCCCTCGCGACCAACATGCGGCCTAGCCACGCGGAGAATCCCCATCTGACCTTAAATTACCTTTTTATAAGTTCACTTGTTAGTTTATTATTTTATTTATATTTAATATTTATTTAAATAACACCGGTACACAAAAAAAAGTTGTTTGTACATCAGACACGACCTACCTACCGGCATGTATTTTAACCCGCTGAATCCGAATTTCAAGTCAGTTTGGGGCGTTCACCCTTCAATTAGCCGGAACTTGTGAATTCAAAGAAAAAGACGTACTTATTCGTGATCGTATTGTACTGGGTGTTACTGATCCGCGTATTCAAGCGAGGCTTTTGCAAGAATGTGAGCTTGAACTTGATAAAGCGATTGATATTTGCCGGTCTATGGAGAATAATTTTGTAACACAGAAGGAAATATGTAAGAAAATAGTTTGCAAAAAACTAGTGCTAGCGGCTTGACATTGAATCGTGATAAGTCAAAAATTTGTGTAAATAAAATACGATTTTTAGGACACATTGTAAGTAGAGAAGGTATTTCTCCTAATGACCATAAAACCCGCACTATTCGTGAAATGAGGTCTTCTAAAAATAAAAAGGACTTGCAACGTTTCTTAGGAATGATTGTGTACTTATCAAAATTTATCCCTAATTTATATAGTGAAACCAATACACTGAGAAAACTCTTAAGTGCAAAAATAGAGTGGAAGTGGTATTCGGTAGAAGAAAAGTGTTTTAATCGTTTGAAAGATTTAGTTTCTTCGACAACTACTTTGTCATATTTTAATCCAACAAAAGAAATAGTACTTTCAGTGGTTTAGGTGCGGTCATTAGTGAGGACTTTAAGCCTATTGAATTCGCTAGTGTTTCTTTAACGCTAACTCAGCAGCGTTATAACCATATCGAAAAAGAACTAGCACTTGTTTTCGAATGTGAGCGTTTTAATTACTATTTATTTGCGCAAAATTTTAAAATTTAAAGTGATCATCGACCGTTATTAGGACTTTTGAAAAAATCTCTCGATGATATGTCGCCGCGTATTCAAAGACTTGCAATAAAACTCATTAATTATCGGTTTACTCTCGTGTTTGTGCCGGGTAAAAATCTTCAAGTACCTGATACTCTCAGTCGCAAACCAGTGAAAGAACTAATAAACACGGACTTTTTGGAAACTAATTTAAAAGTGATTTCAGTGATCGCTACTCGGCCTGAAAATCAACAAAGATTGCAGAAAGCAATTGATGAAGACAGTATTTTGCATAAAATCAAGCATTTCGTTTTAAATGGGTGGCCAAAGCACAAAAACAACTATGCAGAGGTTAAAAAATGTTGGCCTCTTAGAAATGATATGTACTTACATGAAAATGTACTTTTCTATAACAAGCGTTTAATAATACCTGAAAGTCTAAAAATAGAATTTCTAAACTTACTACATCAATCTCATCAAGGGTTGGTCTCATGCAAAAAAATTGCGGAGGAGTCAATTTATTATCCTGTTTGGTCAACTGATATTGAAAACCTAGTTTTGACATGCAAAATTTGCCAAGCATACTCAATCTACTTCCAAAGAACCTCTAATACCACACGACGTGCCTGATTTCCCATGGCAAAAAATCGGTATTGACTTTATGGCACTTCAGAGCCAGACTTTTTTGGTCGTGGTAGACTATTTTAGTAAATTGTACTCAGACAATGGACCTCCGTTTGATTCAATTGAATTTGCAAACTTTGCAAAAACTTACGATATTAAGTTAACCACATCAAGTCCTTATTACCCTCGTTCAAATGGAATGGTTGAAAGGACAATTCAGACAGTCAAAGGCCTTTCGACTAAGTGCTAGCAAGACGGAAAAGATCCATTTTTGGCTGTGCTTAGTTACAACATAACACCTAAGGAAAATCTACTTTCTCCTTGTGATTTACTAATGGGAAGGAGATTAAGATCAACTGTACCTATAAGTCAGTAACTTCTTCGTCCAAAATGTCCAGTAGATGACATAAAAGAAAAGCTTGAATTGCTTCAGGAAAAGCAGAAGAAATATTACAATAAATCACACAAAAAACTCACCGATCTGGAAAATAATCAACAAATCTTAGTTCAAGAAAAAATTCGTCATTGGAAACCTGGATTTATCCTAAATAAGTCTGGTCCTAACGACTACAACGTCAAGATTGGCCAAGGTGAATACAGAAGAAACAGTCAACACATCAAACCCTTTCGAACATCAATGCCTGCAGGTGGTGTAGAAATAAAAGATAATTGTTTTACTGAAAATGGAACCCAAGCAGTGAAGACAAAGCTTATACAAGACAATGACATTTTTCAAAATAATTTTAATCATAATCTAAAGAACAATAGCTTAGTTACTACCCGTAGTGGTAGGGTAATTAGAGCACCTGATAGATTTACATTCTCATAATTCTCTTTATTTTTTTTTATATTTATATAGGGCACATTTCATATAATATTTCTAATTTATTTTTGTTCTAGGATAGTATTTTCTTTGTTTTTTTTTATTTATAAAGGGGGCGTGTCGTATATGTTCATATTTATAAGTCAGCGTGGCAACCGCGCTTTACCTGTACATCGACGACATGCAGTGTCCGTCAGGTGGTGGTAGTATCAATGTGAATTGTAACGAAAACATTATAAAGCGGTCAACAATAAAACCTAATACCTACTAGAGACATGGTGCCTTTTATTAACTATTAATATTAAGAATTACATCTACACCCTCAGTATATTAGTATATTAACTATCGTAATCTTTCGTCTGCAATAAGACCAGTTCCACATGACGTGATATACCTGTACCTGTTCCACCTAAAGTATTATAGTCTATCTAATCAGAATCTTCAACAGATTCAGAATGAATTAGTCATTGATTTGAGACTTCCAAAAGACCTCTATGAGGTTTAAGGCTTAAAGAAAAAAAATTACTTGCTCCAGGTACTATATTTTATTGGTATAGAAATCGTGAGGCAAAATTTGTCAATTACTTTGCCGCAGCTGGTTTACTTGTATATTGTCAAAATGTATCTGACTTGGTTATTCACGTAGGTGCTCCTGAATACAATCCTGCCGAGTGAAGACTTTTTATAGACTCTTTAAAGAGAAGTCTTGAAGCTGTTCTACTTCATAATGGCAATTTATATGCATCTGTTCCTGTTGGTCATTCTACTCAGCTGAACGAAAATTACGAAAATCTTGAAGTACTGCTTTTAAGAATAAACTACAGACAACATAACTGCATTCTATGTCGTGACCTTAAAATTTTAGGGTTGCTTTCAGGTCAACAATCCGAATATCAGAAATACTCATATTTTCTATGTGAGTGGGACAATAGAGCAAGAGATGACCACTGTATCAAAAAAAAAACTGGCCACCAAGAAAAAATTTAACGCCTGTTTCCAAAAATGTAATTTGGGAGAGCCTAGTTGATCCCGAGAAAATTTTATTACCACCTCTACATATAAAATTGGGGCTGATGAACCAATTTGTCGAAGCTTTAGACAAAAATGGTGGTTGCTTTAAGTACTTGTGTAAAACATTTCCGGGTCTCCCTGAAGCTAAATTAAAAGAAGGCATCTTTGTTGGGCCAGAAATAAGAAGGTTGATGAAAACTTATGAAATTGAGACGGTTATGCAGGAAGACGAAAAAGAAGCATGGACAGCTTTTAAAAAAGTTATAAATAAGTTTCTAGGAAACTACAAAGACCCTGAATTTAAAAGTATTGTTGAAAACATGTTGGACAAATTTAGAAAGTTAAGCTGTAACATGAGCTAAAAAATTCATTTTCTATATGCTCATCTTCACTATTTTCCGGATAATCTTGGCGATGTTAGTAAAGAGCAAGGGGAGCGCTTTCACCAGGACATAAAAGAGATGGAACGGCCATATCAAGGGTGCTGGGATATCAAAATAATGGCCGACTACTGTTGGATGCTTAAAAGGAACCATCCTACCGCAGAATATGCACGAAAAACAACATAAAGAAGCTTTTCCAGAAAGAGGGAAAGAGTTTTCAAGAAAACAAAGGATTAATGTATGTTATTTTTTAACTAGTTCCCCGGTTTTATTGTTTGTTTTCTTGGTTTATTATTTTCTTTTTTATCCTAAGTATCTATAAATATATTTTTACTTTTTACATTCTTGTAGTATTTTGTTTAAAAACCTTACGTGATAGAAAAAAAACTAAAAGTAGATTTGAAATCAGCGTCACTGAAATACCCAATTTCAGTTGAAAAGTTCAATTCACATTTTACAGAGTATTTAAACGCAGGCCTGTGTAATTATTCCCATAATAGGAATCCAGGAAAAAGCCTTAAAAAAAAAGCCGGGGAAAAAACATTTTGTGCATGTAACATTTTTAGACGGAGAGCTGGCGACACAAAGACTCGGTAAAGTCAAAATTTTGTTATTTACACTTTCGATTGTTGCCAACATAGCGAGAGGCGAGCAGTCAGAAGTCACCCTGGAAGTATAAAGTAAAGGTTTTTTATGCCCATATTGCAACTTTATTAGTCAGACTACAAATATGTTTATTTAAAATAGTTCTTTAACAAATAAGGGTCTATAATATTGACAGTTACGCGGAAAAAGTCGAAGATTTACAAACGTAGATAAACAAGAACAATAATCCAACTTGTTCGTAAACTGTCGCCACTAAGTTCAGTAATCCACGTGATCCATCGAGTAAACCCAGTAATCTGGATTTGTTATCTATAGTAGGATTTCGAAAACGCCTCTTGTATATCAACAAATCTTTGCAGAGGCCCTTCTCCCCATAGAACGAGTTTTACATTGCTTCTTGTATATCCACCTAGCTAAGAAAAGACACTTAAATTTCATTAAAATGTAGAGTTACATACTTTTCAGCTTTCGCCGTCGAATAATTATGGAAGGTATTTCATAATTATTCGGTCAGCCTCTTTAAAAATTTAACAATTTATCTGAATACTTAGGATTCTCCTACATTGAGAAACGCATTCGACACCATTTTATACCATATAATATACTTAAATCGCTGTCTATATTTATGTATTTATTTATTTTTAAGTTGTCAGTGCTAAAGCATCCCGTTCAAGGAGACTTCTAGATATGACATCGGATTCCAAGGATAGCCCTCCAGAAATAGTAGCCGACTCTGATTTTTATATTATCGAAGCGTTCATTGAAAAAGACGTCTGGCCATTAACTGCTAGCGAATGGAGCAATGTTGAGAAAGAAAGGGACAAGTTAATGATGTCTGCAGAAGGACTTGCTATGGATAGATCTGACTCTTTATCGTAAATATTAACGTCAATATTAGTGTATTAATAGCTTAAACTTAGTTTTCTTCATCTATCTGTTTTTCAGGACGCATTCCAATCAGCAGCTCACTTACACAAATGATGCTATCGTAAAAAGTGAGAGTCCTCATTGGACAATGGACGTGTACTACACAGATAGCGTCTGGTTTTACGAAGATCCTGAAAAAAACAAACTAATTAGAAACATCAAATTGTCATGGTATGAAGACAAACCAGACAGAATATCAGTGTGTCAAGAGCTAAGGTAAGCGAAGTGGACGGTATTTACGCTTTACTGAACGCATTCAGACCGTCTCACAATGTTTCGAACAAGTAAGATGGACAAAATTATTTAGTTGAAATTTCTGACACATAATATGAACATTTTGTGCAATAAAAATCTAATTAGGGTTTGTTACACAGGGTGTCCAATTAAACCGGCACCCAATATTAATTTTACGAAAAAAAGTTATTCTTCATCATCTAAAAGCTAAAATTCAACCTCGTATGCGACTGATAAAATTTGGTATCAGATGGTTGAATTTTGGGTTTAAGGTCATGAAGAACTTTTTATGAAGTATAACTTTACGTACGCCTCTATAATACGTAGACAATTGGCGGTATATGGGAAACTTTTTTATTAATAATTTTAGGAATAAAGTTAAAATCTGAAATACAATTATATATTATTTTGACAGACGTATACGAGGTTTGTCAAAAATAAAATCACTTCTTGAGCAATATATAAATTTTTTGACGCACCTCGTATACAGTTCAAAAATTTTAATATCTGCTGGTTGTATTTAAAGTTTTAGACCATACAGAAATTTTTATAATAAACAACTTTTTTCATAAAACTAACAATAAAAAAGTGTCACATATAGTGCCGACTTATTCTACAAGTGTTTTATTTGTAAAAAATGTTGTACAAGAGTGTGCTGACAGACACTGTTATATTTAGAAACTATAGTTATAGTCATAGTCATGACCGGGATAGATGGTTCCATAGAACTTTTAGACTCATAAATACCAATATTCACAAAAGTTCCAGATTTCGGCATTTTTTCTAAATTAATATTCAGAGCTTCAGTGTTAGGTACTAGTTCTTATAAAAATAAAAAACACTCAACGTTATCTTTCACATTTATCGCGTATATATTATATTAGGTACAGTAGTTTAAACAGAGCTTCTCTATTAACCTTTAAACCCGGTCATATATTGCAAAAAAAACGTAACGCTTAGCTATTTCGTAAAAGAACCGACATGCGTTTCCTGATGCGCTATTTTTAGGCTGTGTAGTTCATCCCTTTTATATTTAAAAATAGACTTTACCTATAATTCACTAATAGCAACAAGTTTTATTAATTAGTATAGTTTCGAGGTATATTGCGACACATCAAGCGTTCCCACCAATTCATTTTCGTACCTAGTGCAGTGTTTCCCACTCCGACGCATTATGGACAAAGTTGTTGCAATATGTCCTAAAACATTTTTAATAAGTCTTTAAATAAAATGACTTGTAACAAAACACAGAACGTATAAAATGTGAACAAAATACATTAAGCTATTTTAACTACTTTCTGCAGACTTGATATTTTAGCAGCACCTATTTTTAGACCATTATACAGGGCATGTTTGTACCTATCGTTTCTACGTACATACGCCTGCTAAATAACAACTTTGAAAATACTAAGTTAAACTATGGCAAACACCATTAATAAGCCTGCAATTTACCATTTATAATTTAAATTAATTAAAATCCCTCAATTCCAATTTATTTAAACGATAAATGCATGGATATTAAATGCGTTAAACGTGACAACAACGTAATTGAAAATAACCTTGTTTCATTCATACTATACGTCACGTAAACTATTTGATCTTTCGATAGTACCTATGCGTCGTTGCCTTACAGTAAATTGTTCCATATCGGGTTTTTTTGTTGATATTTATACTTTTTTCGAAATATTTCGACTTATAGTTTTAGTGCATAGCTAACAACATGGTTTGCGAGTGCATTTTGAGCAAAAAACTGAATATTGTGAGTGCTGAAGTGTCTTTTCATAAGTAAGTAAGGTTAGGTGATATATTGTATTGTTCAGTGGTGTAGATCTAAAGATTTTTGCCGTAATATCACATGTATTTGCTTCGTTTGAATATCCACATCCAACACATTTTTTGAATCTCGAGCGTTTGTTTATCCACATTGGACACATCTGTCCTACTACATTCACAGATATATATATATATATATATATATATATATATATATATATATATATATATATATATATATATATATATAAGAGAGTTGATAGTCGTTGCTGACTAGTTAATAATTTAACCAGTAATTTGTGGGTAATGCAGCAAATGAAAGTTTACTTTTTTAAGTTTATTCCAAGCTTTCGGAAATGTTTATTTCCATCATCAGGGAGACTAAAATAAAATAATACCACATATTATGATAAAGTAAGGTAAAATTTTTTAATTACTTACATCTTAATTAAGGTTGTTCATTATGGTGGTATTATTCATTTTAGTGTAAATATACAATGGACAAGCTGAATCAATTACAAAATAATATACACAAACAATAATTACGATACTTTAAAACTAAAAAAATATAAATAACGAAAGATCAATTTGACAATTTGACATGACAAGTAAAATTTTAAATAAATAACAAGTTATTAAAGGTTAGGAAATAAATGTGGATAATGCTATATTTACATAACATTAATATTTTTTAATGTTCAAAGAGTGATTTTTATATTAAATTAGCTCTGTATTATTTAAATTATGAATTTGGTTTGGTTTATTGTCCAAATCCAATAAATAAGAATAAATTTCACTTAAATTGTTAATATCTGTCTTTTTGTTCATAGAATTTGGTTCTTGTGAAATGAAAGCCATCTCCAAGAAAAGTCTTTTATGGTAGTTATTTTCAATGGCTAATATTTTAATTTCGTCATAATTTATATAAGTGATTGCAGACTGCATCCGGAACGTTGTGCTTTGGCTGAACATGCTAATAAATATCAACATAATATAAATTATGACGAAATTAAAATATTAGCCATTGAAAATAACTACCATAAAAGACTTTTCTTGGAGATGGCTTTCATTTCACAAGAACCAAATTCTATGAACAAAAAGACAGATATTAACAATTTAAGTGAAATTTATTCTTATTTATTGGATTTGGACAATAAACCAAACCAAATTCATAATTTAAATAATACAGAGCTAATTTAATATAAAAATCACTCTTTGAACATTAAAAAATATTAATGTTATGTAAATATAGCATTATCCACATTTATTTCCTAACCTTTAATAACTTGTTATTTATTTAAAATTTTACTTGTCATGTCAAATTGTCAAATTGATCTTTCGTTATTTATATTTTTTTAGTTTTAAAGTATCGTAATTATTGTTTGTGTATATTATTTTGTAATTGATTCAGCTTGTCCATTGTATATTTACACTAAAATGAATAATACCACCATAATGAACAACCTTAATTAAGATGTAAGTAATTAAAAAATTTTACCTTACTTTATCATAATATGTGGTATTATTTTATTTTAGTCTCCCTGATGATGGAAATAAACATTTCCGAAAGCTTGGAATAAACTTAAAAAAGTAAACTTTCATTTGCTGCATTACCCACAAATTACTGGTTAAATTATATATATATATATATATATATATATATATATATATATATATATATATACATGTAATCCACCATAGCGAAGCCCGAAAGTGCATATTTCGCGGTTTATAAGAAGCCCGCTGCAGTTTACCGAAGCCCAAAACGGGCTTCCTAGTTTTTACAGTGTATATTCTAAAATTTTGGCAGAAGGTGCCATCTGTTTTCGGAATAAAAACTAGTACGGTTTATACAGTTGCCAATCTTATGAAAACTGGCGTTACATTTCAATTTTTCCCCACAGATGTCGTAAAAATGTACTATTTCTAAAATGTTAGTAGGCTTCTTAAGCTTGCAATATGTCTGCATATATACACTAGTTAGTTCATGCAAATCAACTGTAGAGGGCTTGTATATATACGTACGATCCTCAGGGGTCAATTCTACAGTACCGATTATATGAAGCCTTACGATTTGGCAGCATTGGAGCTGAGTGATATAATCGCTGATACTATGAAATGGTCTATTAATGAAATCGAGTGCTGCTTAGAATAGATTAACGATTTGATCTTTGCTGGTCATTAGGTTAAGATAAAAGATTTGTCAATCATACTACATACTTGTATTTAGCAAAACTTGAAAAGATCGTGTTATACCAAGTGTACAGCAATCAATTCGTTAATTAAAAACATATTTTTTATACAGGGTGTATCATAAATGTAAATATTTAATTAAACCTATACAGAAAACAAATGAAAATACGACTTCAGATGTGTTATACTTTAAAATTTTAGAAGTTATAGTTAAACAAGCTTATACAGGGTGTAATAAAATGATGTTCACCAAATTTAACCACAGTGTCTGGGATCGAAAATAATTTGATTCAAGCTAACTTGTTTACATTAGAAATGGATAGTAAAAAAACTTACAATTGGAATTTTAGAAGTGATTGTTTGATCTTACTAGAAAACGGCTTAACATATTTTTATAAATATGTTCATGATCATGAGATGTTAGTATACTGTGACCCATAAAATGAGCCAGTGGCGCTCAAAATTGTTTTCTAATTTTTTTAGACAATAAAATTTAGGTAAAAAGAGGACTCCACTGAATTATAAGCCCTTCAAGGAAGACATAATATTTACAATGACATTTTTCTATAGATCTTAAACCACAGAATATTTTTTTTACGATATTTTTTACTATTTTATAACTTCGCGTACAATTCTTCTCTTGTAATAGCAATCATCTATAAAGCTGTCAAATAGTAAAAAAGCGGTAAACATTATTCAGTAGATTATTAGAAAAAATGTTACTGTTTTTCTCATTATGACTTTTCTTCAGGGGCCTAAAACTCAGTAAATAAGGCTTGCACTAACAAATACTAGGAGGAAAAAAATTCAAAATAGATATAGGAGATCAGTGACGTCCTGTTTTTACCTAGATTTTATGGTCTAAAAAAGTAGGGAAGGGGGGGGGGGGGGGGGGGGTCAGAGGTGCGGAACCCTTCTAAAAACTTTAGAATTAAAACAATTTTAAACGCAACTTACTTTATTTTATTGGTCTTTGTATACTTACATCCTATGTAAATTTTCATCAAAATATGTTA